GTCATCTGAGTTCCACTGCGGGGTCTTCTGCTCACTGCAAAGGCCAGGAGTCGGGATGGTTCTGGTATGGGCTCAGCCCCTTGCATCTTGGGGCTCTGGGCAAGAAGTCTCCTCCTGCCCTCTCCCCCACCTACTCAAGGCATCTGCTCTGAGGGTGAGGCCAGGCCACCACGAGGGAGGCTGGAGTCTCAGCAGTTGCTCCCCAAGAATGGAGGAAAGGAAATGAGTTACTGCTCTAGTAGGTCCGACATCAGGAAGAACTTCCAGCGGGTGGGGGTGGCAGGCCATGAAAGGGGTAAAGGATGGATATGGAATCTATTCTAGTGGTCCCTAAAAAGGGGGATTCTTCCCAGCATCCTGTGATGGTTCGGGTTGAGGCTCAGAGTCAGGGGGATGAGGCAGATGGCCTCACTGTGGAGGCTGCCTTCCTCCGGTCTTGGGGCTGCCCGTTCATCCTGCTGGGGTTCATGGTTCCCCATGAACAGCTGTCATGTGGGCCTTGGGGTCAGGCCTCTTCTCTTGCCCTTGGTCTTCAGGGCCCAAATCTCTGCATGTGCCTCCCACCGGCTCAGACACCAGAGTGCTTGCTCTACTGAGACCAGGCCCTCCATGGCCTCTAACTCTTTCTTGGATATTGCTCTGTCTACCCCCAATGCCCAGCCTCCCCTCCATGACTACACCACCACACCCCAGCTCTGGGAAGACTTGACACAGGCTGCTGAGGTTCAGAGGCAGCAGCTGTACAATTTGGGGACTACTCACTCCCTTCTGGCCCCTTGGGTACTGAGCCCAAGATGAGTCCCATTTTACATTGACCCAGCTCTCTCTAGACTCAGAGAAGAGGGACCCAGGGGAGTCTCCTGCCTGGACCCCAGCTCACCTCCCCAGGGACTCTCCTCCCTGCTTCCTATGGGCTGAGGCTATGGGTGGGCACGTTGGGATCTATGTGCGGATGGAACCAGCATCAGGGAGAGGGCTGAGCAAGGCTTAGGAGGCCCCTGCTCTCTCCTTCTGGCTGCCCTGAGCTTCCCACCTTGCCTGCCCCCCACCAGCTATCCCTCTGGTCTAAGTCCCTCCCACTGTTCCTTACCCCTCCCCCCCGCAGCCTTCCCACCATCTCCCTTGGGGCCTCTGCCAGCTGTGGGCCCCTTTGTTCCTGCCACGGTGATGCGGTACCAGGACCAGGCCATGGGGTCCTGCTCCGGTGGGGACAGCCTGAGCTCTTGAATGTGAATCAGAAGGTTATGGTAAATCCCTACAAGCCTGCCAATCAGTTCAGGGGCTCTGGGCATGCTGTTTAGTCCGCTGCACCCCAGTTTCCTCAAGGATAGGCTGGGGGGGTCATAGTTACTGCCCAGCTTGCTGACGAGGCCCTGTGAGAACCACAAGAAATAATGGGTATGGAAGCTCTTCTCGAGCTGTCAGCCTCAAGGAAGTGCAGGAAGTTACTGGGGACTCTCGTGATACCGTGGGTCCAGACTCTACTTGCTCCTAGGAGACCTGGTCAGGATACGAGCCCTGTCACTCAGTCCCAAGAGGTGAGTTTGGGCATGTTCTTAATCTCCTTAGTTTCAAAATCTATAAAATGGGGCTAACAAGACCAGCCATAGAGAGCTGTGATGAGCTTGAAACAGGATCAAGCTAAGTGCCTAATGGGCTGCCGCCTTTGTTACGGTGTGACACGCATTTATGCACCAGGCTCTTCCGTGTTTCCTCCGCGGTTATCAGGGGAAGGAGGCAAGGTCAGTCCCATCTTACATGCATGGAGACAGACTGAAGTGTTCCCTTACTTGCCTGGGGCAGCCCATTCAGAAATGGATGCAGTCATATTTGAACATAGATTCTTCGTCTTCAAGTCCAGCGTCTTTAACAGATAAACACCCACCCTCACAGCTCATGGTCATCGAGTCCTTACCGTGCACACAGCAGCTATCGCTACGATGCTATGAGGCAGGGTGACTGGCTCACCTTACAGATGAGGAAGCGGAGGCACGAAGAGGTGGCATCATTGGCCCCGAGGCACCTGCTGGTGCACAGAGTGCGTGTTGCCTGGCATGCGGCCCTCCTGTCCTGAGAGGTCCCAGGACCCACCTGCGACTCCCACCAGAAAGCTCCATAAGACCGACATCGCTGTAGAACCACTGTCCCCACTGCCAGACTTCCCACGTTGCTCCCAGCCTGCGGGGCCCCAGGTCCCCGTTCTCAGGCCGTGTCACGAATGCGGATTGAGTGCCCCGTGTACAGCTAGAGAAGGCTATGCCGGGGGGTCTTGCTGCTGACCCGAGAGGGCAGGGGCCTCAGACACACGCAGGCTTGGGGCAGCACCCTGACTGTGTGATTCTGAGCCCTGAGCCTTGGTTTCCTCATCTGGAAAATAAACTTCTAAAAACACCAAACTCTCAGGGTTGGAGTGAGAACCCCATGAGACCACAGATGTGGAAGCTTATTGTAAATTCCCAAGTACCGTACATGGTGAACTACTATCATTTTATTGTATCCTATAGTGGGAATGGGCCCCTTAAGGCGGGGAAGGCTTATAGTGTGAGCATAGCAGGGAGGGAAGGCGGGCAGGCCAGCTGAGGTGCCCAGCGCCAGGGTCCTGGGCAGGTGCTAAGCCTTGGGCCACCATGGGTGGGAAGCACAGACTCTGCACAGCCTGGGTTTGTCTCTGTCATTGAAGGACCTCAGTTTGGCCTTTGTCCAGCGCCCTCTTTTCTCCCTAAGATGAGCTCCCACCACCTTTCAGCCCTTTGGTCATGCCCCACGGCTGTTAAATCTCAGCGAGGTGGGCGCTGTGTGGGCTAATGCAAAGGCGAAGGGAGATGATCATTTCCTGCCCTGCTGCTATGTGCCAGACACAGGCAAGACATTTCCTATTTTATCTCATTGAATCCTCAGGGTCATTAGTCCCATTCTACAGATTAAGAAAAAGAAAAAGGAAGGTTAAGGGTCTTGCCCGAGGTCACCCTGCTGGGTGTAGGATGGAGACCCAGGTCTGCCTGACTCCAAAGCCAATGCTAGCAGCTGATAGGCTGCTATTTCAACATAGCCTCCCCACCTCTCCTTGCCCCCAGCCCCAGTCCTGTTCCCCTTGAAGCGTCTAGGGGCTCACCTGTCTTCACATTATGGAAATCTAGTCTCTAGACAATGGGGGTGACAGGGGGAATCCGAGCTCTGGTCCAGCTGGGTCAGCAGCAGCGGCAGCTGCCCTTCAGGTCCCTAAACACACACAAGTGTGTCCCTGCTCGGCTCGCTGGGGCACCTGGATCCACATGTATTTACCCACCTCCGTTAAGTAACCCAGCAACTCCCTGGGATAATGGCTCCTGGTCCCGGCCAGTGGTAAGCCGAGCGTGGTCAGGGACTCAAGATTCCTCCTTGAATTCATTTTGCAGCCTCCAGAACAATGAGGACGTGACCAAATCCATTACCTCTGACTCTTAGAAAAGGGAGTTTAAAACAGTTATGACAAAACCAAACAAGAAACCCTTGCCTGGTAGGGATGATGGTGTTGACTTGGGCCAATGTTCTAACGAGGAGGACTTTTTCTTAACCGGTTGGCTTACTAATAATGTCCAATGTCAAGCATGCTGGCAGGTGAGGGATGGAAACAGGTGCTGGGGGCCAGAGCCGTCTTCCCCACACAGCCCTGTCGACGGTGCCCCCAGTGCGGGGTCCCCAGTACAGGTGTGGCGCCCTCACCATCCCCCCTGAGGGGCCAGTCAGCTCCCAGCAGGAATGATGATGATGGTCACATGTGGCCCCTGATCCATTCCCAGCTTGCCCCTGCAGCCTCTGGGGTTTCTGGAGGGGGCTGAAGAGATGGGGCTGGTATAATGGGCCAGAGGGAGGTGACAGGGACTGGGGGCCCCGCCAGGCTTCCTGTCCGCCCTGAGTGCCCTCCGGCTCTCTCTTAGATTTAGAGCACCCCAAAGGCTCACTTTCCAGGAAGGAACAGATCCAGCGCTCACTGACTGCCTAGTAAGGCCGGCTGCTGCATTATCAACTGCGTCCCTCTTCAGAGAGGCAGCAAAACCTCATGGTTGAGCTGGCCTCCGAGCCCGGCTTTCTGGACTTGTGCTCTGGCCCTGCCCCTCTCCAGCTCTGACAGTTTGATCACATTGCTTAGTCTCTCTGCTTCTGCTTCCCCTGTGCAAAATGGGAGCAATTCTGTCCTGAGGATTAAGTGAGTAAATACACATAAAGCTCTTAGAGCATGTGAGGTCCTCTATAACCATCCATTAGAGTGCTAACTCTGGGCGAGCAAACCACTCCACCTGCAGCTGGGTCGGGTTAAGGATCTCGTCTAAGAGTGGTGGGCTCCTACGCCCGCCTACACCTTCTGATGTTGCCTCTCCAGTTGCCCTGATGCATGGGTGAGTGAACGCATGTGCGTGCGTGCGTGCGTGTGGGTGCATGGGTGAATGAGACAAGTCTGGTGTTACTGAGAATGGTGGGCTACAAGGCAGGTCAGGGCTTTTCTTAAGGAGTGCTATTCACACTTTTCGATGACAGCTTATACTAAGAATGGGGTTTTATAAGTCTGGGGCACACAAGAGGAAAAGGCAGGGGTGTGTGGGGGGAGTAGAAGTGAAGAGGGCAGAAGGAGCGATCACTTTCCTCACCAGGGACCACATCTCCTTGAGCCACCCTCAGAGGGAGGGTCCCTAGACACATGTAGCCCAAGCAAGGGCCCCCCAAGCCCCAGGCAGATGGCCCACTGCCCTCTGCCCACCTCTACAGGTCCCTGTGATGTGGAGAGACTATAGGGAGGTGGGGGGTGCAGCCTCTTTGAACTTGTGCTCCATCCCGAGAAACTCTCTTCTCAGATGCTTCTCTGCCAGGGGTGGGAAGGTGGTGATGGTGGTGATGGGGGGGGCAGTGTTTGCTCCCCTCCTAGCCGCTTGCCCCAGAGCATGGATCTTCTGGCTCAGCAGGCCTGATAGCTGGGTGGGTTCTCAGGGGAGCAGCCTGAAGGATGCCCTTCACTCTGCTTCCAGAATGCTTCCCTGGCAAGGACGTCTCCAGCCCGGGCATCCCCTTGCAGGTCATCATCTGCCAGGTCAGCCTCCACAACGTCTTCTCCGACAAGAGTGTACCTTGTCAGAGCAACACCAGTGGGGGCCGTACCCATCCGGGCGTCTCCTGCAAGGTCAGCGCCAGCCACCAGGGCCACCGGGGAGAGCCCAGGTAAGGGGGACACTGCAGGGAAGGCAAGAGGAACAGGGAAGGAGGCGTGGGGGGGGCGTGGGGACGAAATCTCAGGGTTGGGATTCTCTTCTCTTCCTCTCCCCCTGGGACAGTGATGTGTGAGGAGCAGGGGGAATAGTCAGGGACGGGCAGTGGGGGGCCTGGGGAGGTGGGGGCAGAAAGGAGCCATTATGTGCAAGCCCAAGACAGTGGAAAATGGGGGCCTTGGGGGGAGGGGAGAAGAAACCAGGACCAACAGAGCAGTTGTAACTTTGGAGGCTGCGCAGTGCGGGTCACAGTGCAGATTTCGAGAGCAAGGACCCCGGTTAGAGCCCTTTCTGTGGGTCAGCTGGGAGGCGAGGGTCGGCCTTGGAGCAGGGTCCTGACTGTGGGCCCATCTGTGGGGTGAGGAGGAAATGGAGAGATTCCGACCAGGCAGGCACACTTGACCTCCATCTTTCCAACCTGACGTATCTGGTTCAGTTGCTGGAAGTCAGAGCTGGCAGATGGGCCTTGGGGCTGGCTCTGCCCCTAACGAAGCAGTGGGTCTGCCCATCCCAATGCTGCCCTCCTCTCGGGCTGGGCTTCAGACTGTCCCCACCATCCCATATTTGGGGCCTCTCTCACAGTCTTGCCCCCTCAGGGGCTGGTGGGGCACTCTGGTGTGGCCTTTGGAACGAGACACACTTCATTTGACTCCCTGCTCTGCCGTTTGCTAGCCAAGTAACCTCGAGCAAGTTCTTTCACTTCTGCGAACCTCAGTTTCCCCATCTATCGATAACGTCCAGCTCACACGGTTGCTGTGAGAATTCCACAAGAGAGCACTTGCAGGTGTGCCTGGCTGGCCCGGAGGAGACGCTCTGCTAAGGGGGGCTGTGGCTATCAGGCGGGCTGGTGCCGTGTTCTGGAGCCGAGAGGTCCCCATGGCGCCCTCCCGGGCCAGACTGTCTCCTTCCCCTCCTCCGCTGCACCGGACCCCTCCCCAACAGCCTAACCTTCCCCTGCTGCTGCCCTGCCCCTAGGTACCAGCTTGCCCAAGTTCACCTGGCAGGAGGGCCGGAAGCGGCTGCCGCTCATCGGATGTGTACTCCTCCTCATTGTCCTCGTGGTGTCGCTCATCATTCTCCGTGAGTCTAACGGGGGGGGGAGGGGCGGGAGGCAGGGGCGGGCTCTGGGCACGGCCCATGGCCCGGCGGAATGTGGGCTGCGGACGGGGGCTCGCCGCAGGGAGGCGGGAGTGGGGAACAACACTCCTCCGGTTACAGAGCCCCCCACAGACACTCCCGCAAAAGGCCGCGGAGCACGGCGCATGGGGGCCTTCAGGCCCCCTCCAGGCCGCGGGTTAGGAGGACCCGGGCTCGGGCCTCATCCGTTTGCGCCTTCCTGTGCATCTCGCTTGAGAGAGTTAGCCACTCTGAGCTCTGTTTCTGCATCTTCAGATGGGATTCAATTCCTTCAGTGCGTTTGACTTACTACGTGCCCCATCAGCACTCATAAAGACTTCACTGGGTTATGAGCCATAAATGACATAATGGCACAGGGTCTGGCACAAAACCTATATACGCTAATTATTTAAAAAAAACATATAAACATGGATTAGGGAAAGTCTCTTGGGCATTTTTGGACAATGGGATAAAGTGTTCCGGGGTTCGGCACGGGGCCCGGCACAGCGGGGAACCTTGGGGGGGGGCAGAAGGGGAGCACAACTCTTGCCACCCTGTCCTCGGAAGAGAGTCCAGTGTCCTGAGGGACCTAGATGGCAATAATTAAGGCCAAATGTGACCGTCAGGAAGAGGTGACAGCTGTGTGGGCCGGGGTGGCAGAGACCAGCTCACGAAGGGTCAGGTGACGGCCTGGAGGATGGGGCAGCATGTGGACAGGGCATCTGAGCGGGATGAGCAGCTGCAGGAAATGTCGGGGGCAGGGGGGCAAGGTCGGCGTGGGGAGAACGAAGGGACCCGCATAGCCAGCGAGCAAAAGAGTACTGGGGGACCTGGGGGGCTGTCTGTTTGGCTGGGCATGGCTGAGCTACATGGTAGACAGCTTTAAACGCCAGGCGGGGGGGTAAGGCTTCTGTTGAAGAGGTGGCACGGTGTGGGGAGGAGCCGGGTAGGTGACTGTGCGGAAACCCGGGCTGGCCCGGGTTGCTCCAGGAAGAGGGTGGAGCGGGAGGAGGTAGCGTGCTGGTTAAGGGCACGGCCCCCCATAGCATCCTGGCTCTGCCACTTGCCAGATGTGTGACCACACAAATTAATTAACTTCCCCAGCCTTGGTGTCCCCACCTGCCTGACAAGGTGGTGGCATCACTGTCACAATGCCTGCCATGTGGTGTCCATGTGGACCTCCAGCCAGGACACGCTGCCCTGCTTCTCCTGCCCCTCCCGCACAGGGCACTGCTCCAGGGAGCCCCCGGCAGTCATGGGAGAGCCGTCGGGAATGACCCGTGGAGGGATGAGTTGGCACATAAGGGTGGGCCCCCCGATAGAGCTAGAGTCACAGTGTGGTTTCACCACATGTCCTTCAGCCTGCTGACCATCAGGGGGGGCCCTCCAGCTGTGGCCCCGTGGGTACTGGTGTCTGGGTCTGGAAGGAGCAGGGTGACCGAGTGCGTGGTAGGGCCGGAGGGAGAAGTAGGGGGTCCGGCTGAGGATGAGGGGCAGGGTGAGGAGTTAGAACTCAGTTTCTTGGGCACCCAAGGGAAGGTGTCTCTTGGCAGGAGGGATGGGATCCCTAGTTTGAGAAGAGGTTAGTGTTCCAGACGCAGGGAGTCACAGGGCTGACTTTCCCACGTGGTTTGTAAAGCTTGGACGTTTGGGAATCAGCCACCCAAATTTGCTCTTTGAGAGGAAAGACATCTAAAGGCATGAAGGGGACATCCCTTGTGTAGGGGAGAGGGAGAAGGAAAATCCAGGAGCTTCTGAGACCGAAAGAACAGCCTTTGAGAGGACAGCATGGGCAGTGCTTGAATGTGTGGACGCTGGAGACAGAAATTTCTCTGCCATGACCCTCAGAGCACAGAGAAGAAGGGAGGCCAGAGGGGCTCCGAGGGGGGGGGGGCTCTGGGATTCTGGAGGAGGGCTTTCTCTGGTCGCCACTCTGGCCCATGTAAGGCACAGGAGCTCCCAAAACTGTACCCACCTCCACACCTCCCTCCCTCATTGTCCCTCCTCCCTCTCTTTCTCTCTCTCTGGGTGGCTGCTCGAGTCTGCCTGGTGCTGCCCTGCTTGCAGGAGCTTTCCGGAGCATTCCGGAGCATTCCTGAGCAGCCTTTCTCTCCATACAGATGGGGGAAGAGAGCCCCAGAGTCCAAGAGGGATTGCAGGTCGGTGTCTCAGAACCCCCAGGGCCTCGGCCTGCTCAGTGTCTTGTCTTCTTGGGGTTGGCAGTAACCCAGCTGTCTGTTGTTTTCCAGTCTATTTCTGGCGGGGCCAAACAGGGATCAAGTACAAGGAGCCGGTGGAGAGCTGCCCCCCTCATGCTGTGCGCTGTGATGGGACCGTGGACTGTAAGCTGAGGAGTGATGAGCTGGGCTGCGGTAAGGATGCTGAGCTGGGCATGGGTGCACGTGTGCCTGAGTGTGTGCGTGTGTGTGCGTGTGTGCACGTATGTGTGTGTGAGCGCATTCTGGTGACTGCAAACTGCATATCAGCTCGAACGGGAGGCAGTGCACAGAGGGTCGGGGGACCTGGGTTCTGGTCGTAGTAGACTTGGGTCTGAAACCTGGCTTTGAGTACTGTGTGACTCGGGCGAGTCACTTACCTTCTCTGGGCTTCAGGTTCCTAATTTGTGAAATGAGTGAACTGGACAAGATCAGTGGTTCTCAGAATCTGACCACTCCCGAGTATCAGACAAAATAGAGCTACTTTGGCTGGAGGCAGGTGTGGGGTCCAGAGCCCTGTCCCCATGCCCCGTGCTTCTAGGCCCCAGCAGGTGACCTCTGACTTGGCACCCCTACGGTTTCATAAAGGTCAGTTTGTAAAGAGCTTGCCTAGATGAGCACAAAGATCTCTCTGCGCTCTGACCCTCAGGGGTTTCTCGGTGCGTTGCCGATGTATAGCCCTGATGTAGGTGTCTGCGGGAGCATTTCCCCTGTGTGTTTTTGTGTGTCATTGCTCACGACCACATCACTCTCTGACGGCACAAGCAGTCAGATCATAGACCTTATTCCCCATGCCACTCTCTTGTTCGGGCATGTCGCTGCCCTCTTGGGGTGAAGGCTCCCGGCAGTGCTCCCCCCTTTTCCCAGCAATGGTCCCCCGGGTCCTGTTGCATAGAGAGCTCTCTGCCCTGCCCCAGCCTCTGCCTTGGCTCTACCTTTCCTGAGCATCCTGGGCTTCTGAGCCCTGGCTGGTGATCAGTACCTCCTGGCTGCTCCCAGACATTCCCCAGGCCTCAGCGAGGACAGGAGCATTTCAGAGCCTAACTCAGTACATTTCTCAAGACCTGGGTGCTGAGAGCCCGCTCTGCCCTTTTCCTGCCCGGCAGTGAGGTTTGACTGGGACAAGTCTCTGCTTAAAGTCTACTCCGGATCCTCCCATCAGTGGCTTCCCATCTGCAGTGACAGCTGGAATGACTCCTACTCAGAGAAGACCTGTCAGCAGCTGGGTTTTGTGAGGTAAACCTCCCCCCATGGGTCCCAGCTTCAGGGATGCCCCGGGCTCTCGGCTAGGGCCCCTCAGGCTCGCTGGGGGCAACTCTTTAAAAAGACTCTTGAGGGCCAGGGCTGAGGGCACTAGCTCGGGATGCTCTTGGGCTAGTCAAAGGGACAGGGGCCCTGGGAGCCCAAGTCTGGGGGCAAGTTGTTCCCACGGGGCCAAAGTCATGATCTGGAGATCTGCAGTAGGAGCACCAAAGTGGCCTTGTGTCCGTGGTCACAGTTAACCATCTCGGTGGTCCTGTGAAGGGGGTAGGCTTTGAGCAGGTCTTGTCTTCTCCTACCAGCCGGGAGGAGCCCCCCTCTCGGAGCCCCCAGCTCAGGCTCTGAGCTCCAGCGGTTGTGGCTTGAGCTGGAAGTCATCCAAGGGGGAAGGAGATGGGCAGGTGTGGCCAGGTAAAGTCTTAAGAGTCTTTGGCTCTAAAGATTTCGCACCAAAGCAGATGCTGGGGTGTGGAGCAGGGAGTAGGGTTAGGACGGCCTTCCCGCTTGAAGGAGCCCCCCTTCTTCCCTTTATCTCCAGGCCACATAGCCAACTCCATCTTCCCTCTTGGTCTGAGTTTTGGGGTTCACCAATGTGTGTGAGGTTGTAGGGAGAAGGGTTTAGGCTGTCATTGTGGACTCTCTGTCGAGGCAGCGCCTTGAAAACCGGGGCTCGGAGGCTAGGACTTAGCACCTGTCCTCTGCCCTCACCTCAGCCTCAGAATTCCGATCTGTAAGAGGGGAGTCGGGGATCTGGCTGGAAGAAGGCGGACATCTTTAATTGTTGAGTTGTACGACCTTATGCAAATCTGAATTTCCCTTGGGCTTCAGTAGATAGTGTCATTTATTCCAAGCACATGATTGAGGTTTGATACGTGCCAGAGACCATGGGCACCCTGACAAGATCCCCCTGCCCTTCAAGAACCTCCGGTATGGTGTGGGGGAGAGAGGCTTAAACCAATAACCACAGCATAATGTTATGTGTAATGATAAGGACCTGTGCGAAGCACTATGGGTATGCAACGGAGAGGGTGCCTGACTGCACCTGGCGGAGAGCAGGGAACAGAGAAGCCCCCAGGGAGGGGAACAGCGTGTGCAAAAGGCACGCTCTCATGCAAGGGTGCACCATGTTCTAGAAACGCACAGAAGTGCCACACAGATAGTGGTCCATGGATCAGCCACATCAGAATCCCCTGGGGGTGCTTGTTAAAATGCACCCCACAAATAGGAATCTCTGGATTAGGATTTAAAACCTGCTTAACAAATGCCCCGAGGTGATTCTTACGTACACTGTGGTCTGAGGTCCCGTAAGCGAGTACAAGGTTCTCAGACTTCCACGTGCAAAGCCGTAATGTCGGGAATCTTTAAAATGCAGAGTCTGGCTCAGCAGGTTTGGGGGGCGGCTACTGCTGGCTCATGGATTGCAGCTTGGCTGGAAAAGGGCCCGGCTAGTGTTTCCTGAACTTGCTTGTATATCAGAATCACCCGGAGAGCCTGCTAAAACATCGAACCGGACGGAGTTCCTGATTCAGGAGATCTAGGGTTAAGAGGACCCAAGAATTTGCATTTCTAACAAATCCCCAGGGGGTGCTAATGCTGCCGTGGTGGCCTGGGCCAGTGCACAGGGCTAGTGGGGACAGTGGTGGAATACGCGGGTGGGGGCTGGGGGTACTGGGCCTTAACCGCCTCTGGCCTCTGCCAGCAAGATTCTAATGGCAGCTGGGGCACTGGGAAGGGGGGCAGCCTGTCTCAAGGGGACTCATCCTTCTTTCCCTCTCTTACAGCTCTTACCGGACGACCAAGGTGGCCCATAGGGATTTTGCCAGCAGCTTCTCAATCTCCAAATACAACTCCACCCTCCAGGAAAGCCTCTACAGGTGTGGTGGTGTGGGCCAGGCTGCCTGCCTGCGAGCAGGGACGTGGTGGGGTGCTTTGAGTCAGGGAGTCCCTCTCCTTTGGCCATTTGGGGACCCAGCCTCCAGGAGGAGTCCATCGTGAATGTCCTGAGCATCCCAGAAACAGTCCTCATTTGCCACCTGTCTCCTGACTTGAAAGTTCTTATTGAAGCGTGGTGCAGAGAGAACCTCAAGGTCAGGGGTGGCCCAAGCATTCATCTGGTGGTCAGGGACCATGAATAGACCTTGGGACCCCCTGTCCGCCAGGGGTTTGGACTGGGAGCTGCTGCAGGGAGTGGGCTTGGGGTGGGGAGGGAGAAACATCCCCTGGGGGAGGGGAAGCAGCTGCAGGAGGAGGGCCAGGTGCATGTGGTCAGGGACAGGGAGGCCTGGCTGGGAGGCCCTGGGCCACACCATCTGTCGTCTCTGCACTGCAGCCCCGCCCTTGCCCCAACCCCCCTGGGGGGGGGGGGGTTGAGGGGTGCTCCACCAGCTAGCGGTGTTTACCTTGGGGAAGGAAAGGAGAAGCCAGGCTCCCGGAGAAAGAGGGATGGGGAGGGGAGGGAAATGAAGCGAATGAGCCGTAGCCTGGATGCCTGCTTTGTGCTAGGTGTTTTGCAAGATGCATTGCCCGTGGAGCATTGAGGAACTGGCCCAGGAGGGTCAGGCCACCTGTTCAGCTTTGGAAAGATGCTGGGACAATGAAATCATGAGTTCAAAGGACATGGATCTACCCAATGTGTGCAATCTACCATAAGAAAACTGGGGGGTGGGGACAAGAGTGGGGATGGTTTGCACTGAGCCATCTCCATTCCTGGAGAAAGCACTAGAAGGGTCTGTCTCTCTGGGAGGAAGATCAGAATCTGTATTTTATGCAAAGGAAATGGGACAGGAAGTTGGAATGAGTCAATCAGGGAAGGCTTCCTGGAGGAGGTATCTAATGTGCCCTTTTCCCATCTTCTGTGTCCCTTCGTGCAGGTCTGAATGCCCTTCCCAGCGGTATATCTCTCTCCAGTGTTCCCGTAAGAAGATGCTCTTCTTCCTGGACTGTGGCCTCTGTGGGGTGGGAGTGAGGAAGCAGAGGCATGGGACCCCTCTGGGGGAGATGGCCAGCCCTGGGGGTCCCAGCCAGGAAGATGGTCTTAACCAGCAGGACTGCTTCGGGGCTGGGGTCCCTGTAAGGCACGGGGACAGTCTCAGGGTAGCACTTTCCCTTCTCCGGACTGCTCAGTCCAGCAACCTTGTTCATATGGGGGGAGCCACTCAAATCTCATGGATTCTGGGCGGTGGGGAGGACAGGGAGGGCTAGTGTGGATCAGCGGAAAGCTCCCGTATCAACAGATGCGGAACTAGATCCAGGGCCAACACTTAGTGAGTACATTCGACTCTTACTGACTCTTGATAAACAATTGCATTTGGCTTCTCATGTGGCAGGTCCCTTTACTGTCCATTAACTGATAAGAGACTGAAATGTTTGCCTTGCTTAGGGACAGATTGCTGGTAGGTGAGGAGCTGGTATCAGACCTTGGGTCTGACCCCAAAGCCCACGCTGTTAACCAGCCCACAAGTGCTGTGTTCTGGGGAATGACCAGGTGGGGGTGCTCCCCTGAGCGGGTGGGCACGGGGCTGTGGACAGAGTGCCCACCCCTCAGACCACTGCTGGTTCTTCCCTTTGTCCCCCTTCAAAGACAAAAAGGACACATGTCCGAACAAACTGCAAGGACTGCCCTCCTTGTCCACAATTTTCGGGGGATGACTCCAGAACATGCTTGGAAATGTTCCCTTGGGGGTACATACAGGGTCCCCAGTAGCACTAAATGACCCCCTGGGGAACCATATGGGCACAGACCCACCTGCACAGCATGGCAGCCCTGGGATTCGCCATCATGACCCTGATGCTTGGCACAGTGCCCCCAACGTCAGGCACTTTAGTGAGCATTTGTCAAAGTTCAGGAAAGAATGAATGAGTGGGAGGAAAGCGGAACTTGCCAGGGATGAAACTTCCCACAGGGTGATCCCAGAAATCCAACTCACCACATGGGAGCTCTGTTTGGGCAGGAAACAGCCGGGCCACGTCAGATTAAGTGAGCAAAGCTGTGTCCACGGGCGGGTGGGTATCCTTAGGATGGGGCTGCCCGAGCCTGCCCCGCCGCACCCAGGGAGCATGGGAGCGGCTCGGAGGGCAGCAGAGGTCACGGTTCATCTGTCTGCTTCTCCCCAGACTGTGGACTGAGGGCCATGACGGGGCGGATCGTGGGAGGAGTGCTGGCCCCGGAGAGCAAGTGGCCTTGGCAAGTCAGCCTGCACTACGGCACCACTCACATTTGCGGGGGCACGCTGATCGACGCCCAGTGGGTGCTCACCGCCGCCCACTGCTTCTTTGTGTAAGTGCCCGAGGGGCGGGTGACGCCATGCCGCCCAGGCCCCGGGGAGCACCGGGGAGGGCTGATGGCAGACTGACTTGTCTCTCTGCGGAGGGCTCTCGTTGTGAGCCCAGGCCCCCAGGGTCAGGGCCGTGATCTGCAGTTGCTGTTTGGTCCTGGGACTAGGCATTGGGGCTACTTGTTCTGAGCACAGCCCGGAATGAGAAAACAACCTGGATGACCCGGAGGGAGAGTGAGGCAGGCAGGAGAAAAAGAGCTTGGGAGCCTGTCTCTGAAGAACGGGGTGAAATAGAGGCTTTGGGCTTGTTGCCACTTCCTGCAACACGAACTTCCAGGAGAGGAGCCTGAGGAATCAGGAATGCTGCCCCGGGAATAGGGAGTCGAGGGATGGGGTTGCAGGAGGGCTAAAGCCCGTCCCTTTAGCTGGGGGGCAGGGAAGAGCTCTGAGGACAAGGCCTCAGGGGCTCTGGCTTCCCCAGGAGTGAGTGAGTCTTTGGCAGATGACTTTGTCCTGCCTACAGCTCCATCTCTGCTGAGGATAATACTTCTGAGCTGTGTCCTGTCCACCTTATAGGAAGCGTGGTGGTGCGCGGAGGAGACAGTGGGGGGTAAATGCTCAGAGGTTGTGCCCATCACTCCTCTTTATTGTTGTGAGGGGCTGGGTGGCCAGTTTAGGATGGGCTTTTGGAGAAAGGGGGTTGTTTTGGAGCCCTGGGCTAAGAAGGAGGGCTCCCTTCTGAGGTCATTTGGTCCATCCCCCCTGCCTGTAAGCTGGTGCGGAGGCTGCCGGGGGGCTCCGCCAGATGTGGAGCCGGACCATGCTCCCTTGTGGCTCTTGCAGGACCCGGGAGAAGATTCTGGAGGGCTGGAAGGTCTACGCAGGCACCAGCAACCTGCTCCAGCTGCCTGAGGCAGCCTCCGTCTCCCAGATCATCATCAATGGCAACTACACGGACGAGGAGGACGACTATGACATCGCTCTCATGCGGCTCTCCAAGCCCTTGACCCTGTCCGGTGAGTCACAGCCACGCTGGCTCCTCCAGGTAGCCCTCAGGGCCCAGCCTTGCCGTGTCCATAGACCCCTCTTGGGGTCCCAGAGCCTCAGCATGGTGGAAGCCAAAGGCTCTTGGGGATCATTTAATGGAACACCTCTACTTTACCATTGGGGAAACTGAGGCCCAGAGGCTGGAAATAAGGTTGTCCCAAATGACACATCTTACATTGCCAGTTGGTGACAGAGATAAGGCTTGGATACTTGGTCTTAACCAATATAAATAGATCGAATTATGTCACTCATATTTATTGAGCACTTAACAGGGGCTGGGCACTGTGGTAGGCATTTTACCACTACGGTATCATTGACTCTTCCCAACCAGTCCTGTAGAGCAGGTACTATTATTAGCTTCATTTTACATTTGAGGAGATGGAGCCTCAGGGAGAGAAAATTACCCGAGGCCACGGAATACTAAGCGGCAGCTCCAGGATGGGATCCAGGTGGGTCTGCCTCCGGAGCAATGCTGTTCATGCTGGGCTCTCTGCTGGCAAATTGGGATCACTGCAGTTGGAAACACAAAACGAGCACACTTTCAGAGGTCAGACAGTGAAGCGCCAGGAGTTTTGGCCGCAGGGCGGAAATGTTAGGGGAGCTGTTCGGAGATCAAAGAGGGTTTCATCCATTAATTCACTCACTCATGTGTGCACTTACCAAATACAGGGGGTCTGCTGCTATGCAGAGCGCTCTGCAGTTGCAGGTGCAAATAGAACAAACTGGGTGACGCGCGGTCAGTAGAGGCCAGTGACTTGAGGGTGGGGACAGCTGGGGGAGCCGAGGTGGCACAAATGGGGCTTCGCTGAAGAAGGATCGCTAAGGTGGACTGGGCTTTCCGGAAGCCTTGGAGGGCTCTCTGGTTAGTCCAGACTTTCTCGTGCTCTGAGCCTGCGAGCTGGTCTTTCCTGGCACATTAATTACAGAGGCGGTGTCGGTCCTGAGTCAGACACTAGGTCGTCATTGTGGGGTGAGGAGGAGGAAACGGCTGCTGAGCTCGGTTGGGCGGGGCTGGCCCGGGGCCACGCCCACCCAGGGCCAGCCTCCCCGCCACTCCTCCTCGGCTCTAGCCTACCCGCCTATTTTGGAGGAGCCCCGGGACTTGCAAGGCGAGGGGCGGTCCTCTGCCCATGCCCTGCCCCTCATGCCCACCTAAGAGGGGGCAGTCAGTCTGCAGGACCAGAACGGGCCTTTCCAACCTTGCCAAACTCAGACTCCATTTGGCTAACCATCCAGATCTCCCGCCACCCCAACCCCACTTAATGTTATTTGGAATTCCCAATCAAATTAAGTAATCTGTAAAACCGAATGAAAGCTATTCCTTTCTACGTTTGTTGAGTACTTTGTATGTGTCAGGCACTGTTCTAGGTGCAGGAAGCTGCAGTGAGCATAACAAACAATTGAGAACACTGCAAACACTCTTATCAGCTGATATTTTCATCTTGCAAAGTGGAGTTTGGTGGTCCCTGCCCTAGGGAAGACCCCAGTCCTCAGAGGGAGGGAGCTGTGACACGATATACATCAGCACCTTCTAAATATTTCTGAGCATGGGGGCAAGGGAGCAGTGGTTTTGTGCCTCTAGGGATGTGCTCTTCCCACTTGGGGAGGTTGTCTGACCTAGAGGAAGTCCCTTAGTTCCTGACCCACATGTGGGTGCTCTCCCAAAACCAGGCTGGACATCGCTGAGATGCCACGGTGCTAATGCCTGGGACTTAAGTCTGCTGTTCTCCTTCCTCTGATGGATGGGCATGGAGGAGGCTCAGCCGGGAAGGCTGCTCTTAGAAGGGAGAGACTTATGGCCACCCGGGATCGGCGTGGCACGGGGGGGTGGGTTTCCAAGGCTTATGCTTCTGCCCACGTAGCACCCACTGAGATCAGAATGCTTGAGGGAACTCCAGCAGCAACCTGAAGGCCAGAGGGTCAAGATAAAGTGACTGAGTTTCTTGCCCGGTCAGTTCAAGGCCCTGGAAGATTCAGAAGCACGCTGGGGATGGGCAAGGAGGGAGGGTCCTAGGACATGGGCACCGCTGTCCCTCCACAGTACCACCCCAGCTGAGATCTCCAGCCTTGTCCCTGCTCTGATGTCTCGATGTCTTGTTGTAGCTCACATCCACCCTGCCTGCCTCCCTATGCACGGACAGACCTTCAGCCTCAATGAGACCTGCTGGATCACAGGTTTTGGCAAGACCAAGGAGACGGATGGTGAGAGGCGGAGATGCTGGGCTGTGTCTGTGTGTCTGTACAAAGTATGTGGGGGTGATATGTCAGGGTGTATAGAGGAGGGCCTATCTAGATGAGGGTTTGGGCATAGAGATTCATGGGCCTGAATGTGGATGTGTGTGTTCACCTCACCCCCACACACGGCAGATCAGTTTATAATACATCTCGTAGCACCTGTTAGAAACTTTTGATCTCCCGAATTCCACCCTTGGCCCATTTGCCCCCATTTTACAAATGAGGAAACTGAAGACCTTTGGGGCTCTGTCACTTGCCCAGGGTCACCCTGGTAGTTTGATAGACAGAACTAAGTCTAGAGTAGTCTAGAATAATCTAGAACCTGCCAGGCCAGTGCTCTCTGCATCATACTATACACCACTTGCTCACAGAGAGCCTCAGTTGTTTCTTACACTTGGGACTAACTCTTCCATGGAGAAAGTCCCCATTAAATTGAAGTAAAAATAAATAAATAAATAAATTGAAGTTATTCTGAATTTTTTTAAAAAGTGAAAACAAAATGAAAAAAATTTATTTTTGTTTTTGTTTTTAGTATATGCAGCTTTAGTCAATTAAAAGAAAAAGTCCCAAATGTGCAAGTGAAAAAAATACCACCTGTTGACACAGGCTTAACTAATAATCAGCTGCTTTCACATATAGCTCTATAAGTTCAGAAAATCTATCCTATAAGAATATATAAAATGTGTTTATATACAGGTCTCTACCTTAGAGCCTGTACATTTATTTCCTCAGAACCCTTAGGTACCACCTCCTGGTGAAGATACCGACACTTCATTCACACATCTTTACAAAAGAGAAAGACTATTTGACGACAAATAGACTATTTGACAATTGACAACACTATGCATCCTGTGTTCAGACCATGTAGGTTCCACTTGGTTGGTTAGGATCCTTCCATCAATGCAGACCACACCAGGTACCCGTGTCCCCCTAAATGAAGACCACACCAGGTGCCTGTGTCCCCCAAACAGCTTCACACAGAGTGCTCCAAAGTAAAATCCTGTAAACCAACCCGAGAGGAATGTGTGTATATACACTTGAGTATATGTCATAGCTGTTGGTCTCCAGCCAAGACCACCTGGAGACCCCCTGTAGCTGAACACGTTGGGCTCATTGCTCACTGCACAGAGGGGAACATATACCATGGGGAACCATGGAAGTCTTAATAATAGAGTGCTAGAAAGGACTTATCATAGGATCTGGGGAATTTGGGGAGGGGGAAGGTTCAAAGAAGTGGAGCATTTCTTTAGATTGGATGCTTTCAGGAAGCAGGGATAATTCTATGATTGGACATCCTAATAATCTCATCTAGGAGTTAAGAATAAGCTGAGTCTAAAGCTATAATCGGTGAAGAGGCAGTAGACACTCCTATTGGCTGGGAGAGGGGACGGTTGACATTTTTGTGGTTTGTAACCTACCTTGTTTTCATTTATGCTTAAACAAGGTTACGAAGTGGTCTTCTTTTGCGTTGCTTCATCACTCTAGCTGAGTGGGCTTCGCTGATGTTTGTTCTGTGGGGTGGTTTATGTTTGGCCCCAGAGCACTTGGCTGGCCTCACGGTTAGCGTCTGGCCAGTTGCGTGTTTCAGGGCCTCCTTTCCCTTGCTCAGTGCGATGGATGGTGACTGGCTTGGGAGCAGCCTTGTTCTGGTCTCGGCTCCATAGCTAACTGACTGGCCGTGCGACTGTGGGCAAGTCACGCCTTTGGCCGTAAGTTCCTCCAACTGTAAATGGATTAATGACACCTCGTTAGGACACATAGTTACTGAAAACAAACGAAATGATGTATTTGATGGTGCTCTGAATACAGAAGAGATTGCGCAACATGAAGGCAGCCCAATAGGCTTGTGAGTTTGTCTGTGTACACGTCTATCTCTATGTGACGTGTAGGGGGTTGTGTGTGGTGCGAGGGTGTGTGTGCCGCTATGTTCTGGGTGGCCAGCCACGGGAATGGTATCCTCCACTCCCAGGAAGCTGTGAGTCGGTGTCATGGGGTGAGCGGCTAGAGGGCTGTGAAGGTATCCAGATCTGGCCTCACTCCTTTACCATCTTTTCTTTCCTCCACTCGACGTCACTGAAGAGAAGACATCCCCCTTCCTCCGGGAGGTACAGGTCAACCTCATTGACTTTAAGAAATGCAATGACTTCTTGGTCTACGACAGTTACCTTACCCCAAGGATGATGTGTGCCGGGGACCTTCGGGGAGGCAGAGACTCCTGCCAGGTGAGGCTGCCTCTGGGTGGGGCTCGGGTCCTGGGAGCCAGGGGCTGTGGGGGGAAGGCTGGGGTGGTGGGTTTTGAGTGAGAAGCAGGTGCCGGCCGTCTCCTGCTCAAGGACCACCTCTCCCACCATGCTGAGATGTGTGCTGCCCCCACAGGGAGACAGCGGGGGGCCCCTGGTCTGTGAGCAGAAGAGCCGCTGGTACCTGGCAGGAGTCACCAGCTGGGGCACGGGCTGTGGCCAGAGAAACAAGCCCGGTGTGTACACCAAAGTGACCGAAGTCCTCCCCTGGATTTACAGCAAGATGGAGGTGAGAGCCTGCACGGGCCACTGCACGGGGCAGACTGGGTACTCCCAAGGTGGGGTGCCTGGTAGAGGGCCCAGGCTTTCCCCGGGGTCTTAGCAGAGGTCCCCTCGCCCCTCATGTTTGGGGGTGTTCAGAAGTTGCAGGAGACCAAGACAGGACAGGAATCGGGTGTTGGGCCAACCCCAGCCTCTGTTTCTCGCCTTCTGTTTCCTTCCTCTGAAGGGTTGGAAAGGGGTGGCCCCAGGATGGGCCCCAGTCGCATGTCCTCTCCCCGGGGACGGCCAAGGTGTGCGTTCACACAGCCCACTGGGGCGGCGTGTGCAGGAGGCCTCTCTGCTCGGCAGGAAGTTAGTCTCATGGAGATCTGTGGCGCGGGGCTTCACTCCCACGTCTGCCGACCCAGCACGGCCCCACCTTCCCTGCACCTGCCATCTTAGCTGTAAAGCAGGAACGCTATGCTCCCCTTCCCCTCTCGGCCTGAGCGAGGGCGGAGCAGTGCAGAGAGCTCGGGTGCTTGCTCCAGAAATCCAGCCTAGTGGTCTCTCTGCTTCCATGGCTCCTCCGTACTGAGTGCCCAGTGACAGCTGGACTGAATTTCAGGCTCTGAACCCCCACCTTCGACATCTGTGTTCCTGACCCAGCCTCACCCTGTTCTCCCTGTTCTCGTCCTCAGAGGGAGGTGCGCTTCCGGAAATCCTAAGCAGCTGGCCTGTCCTACCTCACGGCACTGGCCAAAGTGTCGGGGCCATCCGCAGTGTCACCTTGGCTAAAGGCCACCGGGCACCTCTGTCACTCCCACCTCCTCTGTCTGTTGCCTCTGTGAAGACTCATGCATGTGTGCATGTGTGTGTGTGCGCGTGCACCTGTGGTATGCACGCGCATGTGTGCCCGTGTGCATGCTTGTACGCACGTGTGTGTGTGTGTGTGTGTGTGTGTGTGTGTGTGTGTGTGTGTTGTTGGTCTCCCAAGGTCTTCAGAAACCAGGAGAGTGGTCAGCTCTTCCCCAAACCCCAGGCTGGAAAGCACCTGGAGTTAACAGTGTGGGGGCACTGTGGAGGTCCCCGCAGGGGTGTCCATGACGGATGGAGGAAGTGAAGCCCAAACAGGGCCCAGAGAAGGGCCTGGAAGTTCACATCAGGAATCCTTGCTCCTCTGACTCTGACTCGGAGACTAGCCCAGATTGCGTGGCCACCAGCAGCCCAGGTAACACCCCGGTGGTGTAGGGCCTGGGCTGGTCCTAGCAGAAAGATGCTCCCCTTGGCATTACGAGCATCCTGCCCCTTCTCAGAGCTTGGGCTAGTGCCCGGATGTGGAGGGCTCACGGCACTGCGGTTGTCCAGGTTCACAGCTGTTCTTGTTCGGTCACAGGCAGTCGGGGCAGATTTTTATTTTATTTTTATATTCAAGAAATGGAAGTAGATGCCTTTTTCAAGATTCTCCAAAAATTCCAGGAGCCTGAAGCACTAGCAGCCATTACCCCCCAAACTCTGAGGGACTTATGGCAGTTGTGCCATTCCAGAGTGCTGCTGAATGTTCCTCACCTCAAGGGCCCGGATGAAGGAGCCCTTTGGGGTCCTCAGGGTAGGGAGTCCTCACGAGGGCTGGTGAGCAAAGCCATCACAGAGAGCCACAAGTGCTGCTGCATCCGAAGGCCACAACCAGGGCATGAAGAATTGGCCGTTGTTCTCCGTGGGCCTCGGCGCCTGAGAGAGTCCAGGTGGACAGGCCCCCCGCGTGCCCAGCGCTGTCCTGGGCCTTGCAATTTCCTCTCAGCTTCTCCGCCTTCCAAGTTCTCCGTTGTTTCAGAAACCTGGCGCTGACATGAACACTGCCTTGGAGAGAGCGCTGACACCATCCCCAGGCCCTCCGGACAGCCGTGCGGAGGGATCTGAGTTGCCCAGCTCCTGTGAGCCATCAGCGTGCCTGGCCTCCGTGCCCGCTCGAGGCCTGGGCCTTCCCCAGCCTCTCCTCTGGGCCAGCTCTTCCTTGCCCAGTCCCATTCCCCTCACTTCTCTTGGGCCTGCCTCATGGTGCTATGACTCTCAGAGGCAGGGTCCATGCGGGTCAGTCCAGCCCAGCTCAGGCAGGCAGCATGGCTGGGCACGGTGCGAGGGGGGCTGCTTGCGTGTTATCAGGGCTGGGGGAGGGGGAGGGCAACGTTCATGTCTCCGGCAGCCCCGGCAATGGTCTTCAGCAATAAAAGTTGTGTGACCTGAAAAATTTGTGATTGGATGTTCTACTGATACCCTGCCCACCCAGGTGCCCAGACAGCCTCAGTTTGGGTTCTTAGTTTTGGTTCCTCAGCTGTGCATTCTGTGTATTTATTTAGCCAGCCAGCCACCCACCCACCAAATCAGTGCCGACTCTGTACCAGGTACTCATGACAGGCCCGGGGGTGCAAAGGCTATGACAGTGTTCTCAGGAACTCATGATTGTGACCCGGTGTGACGGAAGCTATGATGAGTATGGACACCATACTTGGAAGCTACCAGTCACGCCTGGAGAGGTCAGGGAGGGCTTCACAGAGGAGGTGAGGGCTTGAAAGGAGTCTTAAAAAGTAAGTAAACCTTCACCAAAAAACCCAGATGGGGGTGAGTGAAGAACAATCCAGCGCTTATGCTTTCTCCTTTTCCATTCTTCCTCTTTCTTTACCTCTGCCTTTGTCGAGCTCAGCAAAATGCATGGTTATAAGAAAGCCCCAAAGCTTATTCAGGTAGTTCCACCAGAATTGGATAGGTGGTCCCATTGGCTTCTGAAAGATCTATCCCTTCTCGCTCTGCACTTGCTTTTCTTGCATTGACTATATTGACCTCAGTCATTATGATCCCGTGGGTGCATGGCCAGTGCCCCACTGTGCACACCCCTGCCTCTGGCCATGAACAGAATTCTCCAAGCCTGCGTCCATGGGCCTGGCCTTGGGACACCTCAGATTTGTTTTCTTTACTCTCTCATGTCAGTGTGAGGGGGAGAAGTCCCTCCTTCAGTTCTTTTCTGGCTCCATCCCAACAAAAAGGTATAGGGGAGGGGCAGGTGCCAGGCTTAGCGTACTAGGAAGTAACACGGCAACCCTAATAATAGCCCACAGTTTCCTACAACCTCAGTGGCTTCATCCAAAGCTTATTTCTCCTCCATCTAAACATCCAGTGAGGAGGCTTCCTGCCACATTATTTTTCAGACCCTTCTTCTCTCTCTCTGGCTTCCTAGGGCAGAAGTGACTTGCAGGGGTGCAGGGGTGCGTGGGAGAGATAAGCTAGAGAAAAAGCAGTATCTCAATAGGAAAAGAAAAGCATTTTCCTTAGACACCGGACATTAATAGAGGCCATAAGAATCATGGAACAGGGTGATGGGACTTCCCGAATTGGTCCAGAATTTCCAGAAAGGTGTGCGTGTCTGTCTTGGTGGGGGATGGTGGGGGGTTGCTGGTGACACCGTCCTCTGGCCCCTGGTTCCCAGGCATCTCCAGGTACCCCTCAGACTCTCTGGCTTTGTCAACTCCACTGACTGCTGAATTTACCCCTGGGGAAGGAGGGGAGGGCCACGTGAGTGTGCTGGGTGTGGGGCAGAGCCAGTTACAGCCTGGCTGCCCATCCAGCTGCCTCTGGAGTTTGGATAGATTCCCAAGGGCTATTGTTTCCCATAATTGCTTAGCCAATGTCCTGATGCACTTGGGGGGACATTGGGAGATGCACGTGGAGAGCTCCCTGTAACCATAATGATGAGGATAATGATGATAAGAGTTAGCATTTGCTGAATGTGTGCTATGTACCAGATGTTGTGCTAACCACCTGATGTGTCTTATCTCCCGAAAGCACGGAGTAGGCACTATTGTCCCTGTTTTATGGATGAGGACGCAAAGGCCAAAGGAAGCGAACTAAGCTTCCCCGAAGACACGACTGTTAAAGTGGTAGAGCTGGACTTTGAATCCAGGCTGTCCAACTTTAAAAGCTGCTTTCCCAAGTCAGGTAGGTTTCTCCTAGCTGTGACCTCATAGGATCTGCCGCTTGGCTCTGTGTATCTTTCCATTCTCCACCAGGCCTCTGCCGTGGGAGGGGCAGGGCAGGCCAACTCCACAGAGAAGGCTGGGCACACCCCTTAGAGTGTCACATGACCAGAGGCTTAGCTCATGCTCTTTCCAGAACCTGAGACAAATGCATTATGAATGGGAGGAGGTCTCCTGACTCCTCTCACACTCACGTCCCCAGTGGATGCTTTTTGCGAGGCCCTCCTCTGCCATAATAAGCTGTCACCCCAAGATACCTCTGTGTCTCCTCAGTGTGGGTGGGCGGCTCTGAGAGGCTCATGCCACTCATTCTCTACCTCCTCTGCACTGGCCCAGGCTTCCTGTGCCTTGGAATTCTGCTGCCCAGCCCAGACAGCAAGCTCACCCTGGTCTCACGATGAGTCCATGCTCTGGAGATAAGCAGCCTGGACTGTCCAGGTGGAGATCGTCTCAGATGAGTCCTCAGAGAAGAGGAGGGCCCGGCCTGGGCTCTGGTCCCACACGGCTCCGCTCCTGCCTGCCAGACGTGGGGCATGGACCTAGCAGGATACTTCCTCGGCCCAAGGCCCGAGTCCCAGAATAAGTTCCTCACTTTTCATACAAGGAGGGAGCTGGGAAGTTTTGAATTCCCATCATTACACTATGTTTTAGTGGAGAGAGCAGTGAGGTTGGACTCGAGCTACCCGGAGGCACAAATTCGAGCTCCATTTACTTAGCTACGTGATCTCGGGCAAGCCAGCCTCTCTGTCCCCTCGCGCAGTATAGCTGTATTTCTCCCGCGTGCTGTGGCAGGATTAAATGGGAGGCTATGGGTAAACATGCAGCACAAGGGGACTGGCATATTGAGCCCTCTAAACAAATGTTGAATTTGCAGCAGAAGGGCCAGATCCTTCACCTCTCTCTCCGCCCCTTCAGCAAACAAATGAGACAGGAGTGGGGAATTTGAATACATCTTCAAAGGGTTCAAGTTTCTTCGGAGATTTGCCATGTCTCTGTATAGACCTGCCTCTTAGCTTTATAGCAATGGGGTTGATCTTCCATGAAAGTGACACCACCACCCAGGGCAGGTGGACGTCTTCTGCTGGGGGTTTCTCTCAGTCATGGAGATCCACTGGGTTGAGCTCACTCTGCTCTCTCTTGCCACTGATGGCACCAGGATAGGTACCTGGCCCTGACTCTGCCCTGGAAGCACCTGACCACTCGGCCAATGGAGCTGATGGTTCAGGACTGTGAGGGGACACACGTCTTCATGCCCCATGGACTCCTCAAGCCGCAGCCATCTGGATCCTGCCCCATCACATCAGTGAGCCACCGTGTTGCCAAATCCGATGGCAACTTTTCTGTCCTCAGCCCTATTGGAATCCCCGCAGCATTGAACTGCCGAGGAGTCTCTAGTTGGTGAAATTGCCTTCTCTTCTGTGGCATCAAGCTCTCCCTTCTGGCCGTCTGGCTGCTCCTTCTGTCTCCCACAAGCTCCGTAAGTGGTGTTCCCCAGGAGACCACCTTCTGCTCTCTGGGGTTTCAGTGAACACCCAGTGGAGTCAGCAGGAATTTGTTCCATGCCATGACGGTATAAGACATGTCACCTTTCTTTATAAAAGTAGGTTAAAATCTGACTCTGAACTTTCCAGCCTGGCTGGAAAGCGTTCCTCCTCTTGTTCTTCCCCAGGATGCTATGCTCTGAGGGAGCCTGCACCCTGCTATCCAGGCTGGGCACTCCATCTGTAGCCTTCACAGGTGCCCCTCAGAGGATTTTATTTTATTTTATTTTTTTATTATATTAGTCACCATACATTACATCGTTAGTTTTTGATGTAGTGTTCCATGATTCATTGTTTGCGTATAACACCAAGTGCTCCATGCAGAACGTGCCCTCCTTAACAC